AGCCCTCTTCTCTCCACTACTGGTGGTGAGCCGTCCCCAAAGTCCCCGATAACTAAAGACAAATCCTCCTCATCTCAGGGGGGAACACGAACCACACCCATGACCCCCTTCTAACCCACCGACTCGCGACGGGAAGGTGCTACCTCAGAAGTACACTCGCAAAAGGGAAATTGCCGAGGGCATTATCTCCGAAAAGGGCTCTACCAAGAAATATCCGAGAATGGGAAGAGTAGTTGAAGAAGATGCCGCGCGACTCAAGGAGGAATATCTCTCCCGAGGAATGGTTAAGGTACTCTCCCTATCATCTGATGACTTATCTCGAAAAACCACTGATTTTACTGAGCTTATCTCTTTCCAAAACTGGGATATCTTGTTTGACTCCAAGAACTGTCCCTCTGTGCATCCCGAACTAATCTCGGAATTTATGGCAAATCTCATTGTCAAGGATAGTGTATTATCTTCCAGAGTGCAAGGTACACACATTCTATTAAATATCACTGTTCTGGGCCAAATTTTAGGTATTCCATGTACCGGAATATGCCAATATAATAAAACATAATGGCCCCTAATAGATACCTCTCAAACCACTGCCCTTGAATTTTTTGATCCAACCATTCTGAGTCCTCTCTCCATGTCACCAGCCTAGTCCCATGACGTGCACTTTGTCACGGTGCGTCAAAATAATTTTCAATACTAACACCTATACGTAGTATAGCGTAGTAGAGTTCGTATCCACAGGGAAAGGAATATTTCTCTTTTTATGATACTTAGTAAATAAAAGGGGGGATTTGGATTGAGTGATTTAATTTAATTAAGAACTAAGATGAACAACCTATATGAGATTTAATTCAAAGATAAAAAGGACTTGACATTGCTACTTTCCACTTGTTGATATATTTTAGTCGATCATTGTTATATCTATAACTTATTCCCTCTCGAATACTCAATCGGGGAGTATATCCACTTCATCGAGGGTAGTTATTAACAACGACCGTTCATTAATAACCCTTACTATTAATCAAATATAGAACAACGCCTTATACCGATTTAATAGTAGCATTTAATCTTTCTAACTCCTTGATGAAATCAATTGAGATTGATAACCTCAACACAAGCGGTTTCGGTTTAACCAACAAAATTAATCCCTCTTAAGTTTATTAACCACGACCGTGCATTAATAAACCGAAGTTACTTACTTGTGAAACCATCAACGATTAACCATCGGTTCGTTGATCGTTTCTAGTAATAATTAATATATGAAACAAAACTAGTTGATCCTTTAAGTAATGTTCAAAATATTAATATGAAATAAGAGTAGGGATTAATTAATATTCAAGGAAGAATATTATTAATGAAGATGAATCCTACTATAATTAATATCAAGATGTTAACTAATTGTCATCTTAGCAACACTCCTCAATATTAATATAGAGGAAGAAAATACCATTCTAACTAATGTCGAGATGTTAACTAATTGTCATCTTAGCAACACTCCCCAACATTAATATAGAGATGGTATTAAGGAAAGAACTATTAATTAATATTCAAGGAAAGAAGTTAAGAAAATAACTCACAACTTTAATAATCAACAAGCTTCAAGAGCAACACCAAGAATGGAAGTTTAGCTCCTCATTTGGAGGCTAAACATAGCTAGAAAAATATAAAGAAATGCTATTCTAAACTGAGCTAAAGAGAATGGAAGAAGGGATTATTTTTAGAGAAGAAAAAGTGTGCTATTTATAGGTGTTTTTCAACACCTTTGGCCGGGTACCCGACCGGGTCAAGTACTCACCCGACCGGGTCCATGTCAAAATCAAATATCCTCCACGTTCTGGCGATCTTCAGCATGTTAAAGTGTCCGGGTCAAGTCAGACCCGACCGGGTGGGGTAGGGGACCCGACCGGGTGAGTGCAAAAATTGGATTTTCTACACGTTCGGGTGATCTTTGCACACCGGGTTGTCCCCGGTCACTTCTCACCCGACCGGGTGAGGTAGTGGGCCCGACCGGGCCATGCACTTTCTTTGCATTTTCGTTTTTCACTTCTTACCCGACCGGGTCAAGTATTATACCCGGTCGGGTATTTGCTCCTGGGCAGCCAAATCTTCTTTTTCTTCACTTCAAAGTCTTCCTTTCCAAACCATAAATCCTAACTAAACTTTACAACTGACAAAAATAGACTAAAATACAATTACAACTTGAAATCACATAAATGTTTACAAACTAAATAAAACGTCAAACAATTAACATAAATCACACATAAAAACATGTAATTATGCACTACTAATTAGTGTGCATCACCCCAATTCCTAAACTCCTGTTTTACTTTGTTCATAACAATTTGATTCCCAGACTAGAAGGTAGATTCACACCTTCAAGAGTTGAACTCGCATACATGTACCTCTTAGCCAACAAAGTCCCCATCAATATTCCGGGTTTAATGATGGCCCATCTCAGATTTATCCTTAGTACTTCATCCCGAAAGATTGGAATCCCATATGCCCCGCTGATTACCAAAATATTTCTGTCAAAGAAAATTGCTCCAGATAAGTTCTCCTCTCAAGAAGCATGTAAGATTATGGACAAAAGGGGCCTTAGCAACTTAGGATTGGTTATCTCAAACTCCCACCTACTCCCTAAACAGTCTGCTCCCTCATCCTCAGACCAGAAGCCCAAACCAAAACCCACTTCAGTTCCCTCTATCGACCCAATGCGGCTGTACCCCCAATCACTGACCATATCAATCTACTGGAGCGCTTTATTCAACACCACTTTGCTTCACTTTCGGACTCCATCTCCACCTTGGCACAGAAGGTGGACACACTGGCAGCTTCTACCAATGATTTCCAATCTTTCAAGCAGGAGATGGCTACGAAGTTTGAAGACTCAGCCACAAGAATCATTTACTCCTCCAATGATGAATGAATTAAACACTTCTCTTATTAATTTTGGGTTAGGAAGGATACTCTGCTACTAGACATCATTTACTGTTTAGGGTTGGAAAATTACTATATTGTTCTCACCCAAGGGAAAATAACACCTTTAGTCGCTGAAATAGCATCATATTAAAATATCAGATCTGTATTTCCGGGTTTACAAATGCACCCATCAATTGTCTAAATTGTTGTAAATGTGATTCTTTGAGGATGAAAATGTACAATGTGAACGAGGAATACATTTCACCTTTCAAAGTACCACATTTACAGCAATTTAGACAATTGATGGATGACATTTACAATCTCGAAAATACAGATTTGACATTTCAATATGGTGACTAATTCAAGGATTGTTGATTGTTTAGTTTTGTTGATGACTAACCCTAAACAGAAAAGAACATTATCCTTGGGTCCAAAACAATGATAACTAACCATGCAGGAACCCTTTGGATAGAACTACCATCTGTTCTACCAGGAACAAACATAATATGCGTGCTTATTAAACCATAAACATATTACATGCATTGAGACTAAAAGCTTTGACATTATAAGTCATGCCTGCATTAATATAATGTATACATGGCTTACTGTACATGCATTAATACTATAAATTTGGCTCTCACATAATATGGGTAGTATAATTAATCTATCTCCTTTTCATAATAGTTGACCGATCCATGTTTATCTTGGAATATTTTATTTCCCATGATTTTGATCTAAAAGAAAGAATATTTTATTACCATATACACTATAGAACGTTGCATGATTGACAAGTTAAATACTTCCTTCTATATTACGGTATTGTGTATGATTATCATGAGCAATAATTCGGAATCCACATAGAAGGAAAATGATTCAAATATCAAGGCAAGTCCATAAATTCACCTAAGCAACCAACTAAGGAAAGAGGAGCAATGGACGGCCTGCATGAAGATATATAAAGGATTGAAGACCACAAGAAGAAGTGTGCTTGATAAAGTGATCAAAAAAGAGAAAGACTTGCAGAGAGTGATCAAATTCAAGGCATCAAAAAGGAGAAAGACTGTGCTAGATAGAGTTTCTTTTCTCTTCTTTATCTTGTAACTTGATTTTCGAGGAAAAGTTAAGTGTAGCTTCGGTGATTTGGGATCGTGTGTGAGAGCTTTGTTGTAAAGCTGAGAGGCTCTCTACCCGCAAGGTAGAGATGCATAACTCTTCCTAGAGAGGATAGAGTTGGGGTGGCTCAAGGGTAGATTAGAAGAATTTATCTTGTAAACCCTTTTTGGCTATTTAGTGAAGTTGTTCAAATTTCTCCAAGAGAGATCGGGGTTTTTTAATCCCTGTGAGCCAAGGGATTTTTCCTCGTTAAATTCTTGTGTCTTTATTATTTTGCATTTCCCCTCACCCACACTAGAACTGTGCGAGAAACTGTCACAGTTCCACAGAAACACAATTCACCCCCTCTTGTGTTACTAACCATTTCATCGAGGATTAAAAGTTCCATTTTCCCAATGTCAAAGGCAACAAAGAAATATTAAGGCGAGTCAATGAGTAAGACGTATAGTAGTCTATATAAATAGGAGTAGTTAGTAATAAAGGTGACAATGTACGGATAAACATATCAGTTAACTTTGATCGTATCAAGTCCGTATAAAATTGAACCCAAAATCAAATCATATATTCCATTCGATCTCAAATAAAATTCACACTCTCTTTTTTAAGTAAGTCTAAAATTGACTTCATACTCCTACATTTGGCAACTTTTTAATATAAAGTTACCCTTAGACCTTTACTTTTTTACCTACTTTACATCAACTTTCTCTCGCACTTAACTTTATCTACATTTTGAGGGGCATAATGTGAAAGTCAAAACAAAAAATACCATTTTCTTACAACCATTAAAGATAAACAATGAAATTCTTTTGAGAACGGAGGTAGTAATATGTTATTTGAATTTAATAGCATTTTTTCTGAAATGTATCAAATCAAATTAAAATTGAAAAACCGAATAAAGTTGAATGATAATGATAATGATAATGATAATGATAATGATAATGATAATGATAATGATAATGAAACTAAGAAAATACATTAAAATCTCAATATATTATCAAAAAGTAACAAATACAAACCGAAGCGACCCAAATTGAAACCTAATAGTAATACATAGTATGATTTTTGTTTAATAATCATTTTTTCAATCTCTTCTAAATTAAATGGAAATCAATATGCCCAATTGTTTATGCATACTTTGCTACTCCAGATCAAGCCTGCTTGCTGAAACTCAAGTCTACTTAAATACGGGGTCGTTGCATAGCCAGTTTCCACAAACGGAATAACCCTTATTTTGGTAGACTTGACGGCCAGTGGGCCCGGTAATACAACCTAATAATAAGCGTCTTAATGATAATTAATTAAATTACAAAGAGAAGTTCGACTTTCAATTATTAATTCCTACGTATTTTCTAGTTTCATCAATCTCATTAAATTAGGAAGAGGGGTCTTCACATATTGTGCCTTTCACAGCAGTGGCAGAAGTAGGAGAGAAGGGGCTGCCGCCATTGGTGGCAGCTCCGGGCGGCGAGTTCTTGGCAATGAGGTTCGACCTGGCGGAGGGGGAAATGGAACTGGCCAAGGAGATGGGCATGAGGCAGAGGCCTTTACCTTGGAGGTATTGCATGGCGGTGCCCATATCATCTTCCATGAGCTTCGCCACCTGCTGCTCCGTCAATCTCATTGTGTCGCTGTTGTTGGATGATGATGATGCCGGCTTTGTATTGCCGCTTCTCGCGCCTCCTTCTATAGAATCTCTAGCTCCCTATGATTCATTGCATTAGATTAATGGTGCATTTGTAAACAAAAATCATCTAATAACACATTAATAATACATGAATACTATTTCCCATGTAAATTCGGCCAGTGGGGGGCAAATTTACACTAACATTATCACACAATTTTTAGGAAAGAAATATTAATTAAAAAATTCACAGTTTATTAAAAATAAAATAAATTTTAATAAGAAACAAATGAAATATTTATTTATAAGTTTATAACTAATTTAAGTTACAAATAAACAAGTATGTTTTAATGCTATGTGAGAAAAGATGTGATTGAAATTACAAAATAATAAATTATTTTAAACTAATTTGTTTATTAAGTACAAAACCAAATATATAAAAGAATTGGATAAAATATGTAACTATAAATGCTTTAAGTTACAATTAAATAAGTTTTAATATTAGGTGTGAAAAGATGTTATTAAAATTACATACTTGGTATCATTTAGTAGCTACATTAATATGGAAATGGTCTATTGCTAAGTTGTAAGAACCTGACGAGATAGGGCGAGTTGACATGGAACTGGGCAACCCGGTCAAGGCAACAGTAGTTAGCATTACTTATTACTACATTTGTCCCACTAAGATTGAGACAAGAAGGTATGATGCGGTATGTAAAAAAGTAAAATTGCATGTTTGATATTGAATTGATAAAATGTAAATAAAGTAAGAATATTTATAATCACCCAAGTTCCAAATATTATCAAATATGGTTGAGACAAACGTAAAGAGATTGATGAATAACGTAAAATGGGAAAAAGTTAGGAGAATGAAAATAGTAGTAGACATATTTTCAATTTATTAAAAAACTTACAAAAATATCTTAAAACATTATGTTTTAGGGAGTACTAGAGAACGATTTCTTCTCAAGGAGAGGCATATTATCATTTCCTTTTCATACTCCGTATAACAATTACCTATAAAATTTAAAATATCACACTCCGCTATAGCGTCATACCTGATCGATCAACATTCAATGCTACAAAAATATTCATTATTCCATTGAACACAAAGTTAAAGGGCTTAAAATTGCATGTGAACAGTTCATCCGATATTGAGTTGAGATGTGCATGTTTTAAAGTTGATTAATGGTTACAAAAGTTATTCGTAATCACATGAATGAAATAGAACCTCTCAAAAAGTTAAATGAATAGAAGGTCAACAAGTAGTTCAATTTTTTTCATTGATATTGTCAAATTTATACTACGTAATTATTTAACAACTCATATTTTTAACATATCCATATTATCTACTTCGTATATTTTTTTAACAAACATGTAATTTTTGATTTTATAACTCATAAGTCATGAAATTGAATTTGTTAAAGAATTACTCCGTATTACATACTTAGTACTACGTATAATTCTCTCTTTACTCTAAGTTCTTCACAAAATTAAATTTTATCTTTAAATATTTTTCTATAAATCAACAGTTTCAGGAAATTCAGTTACTTTCAAATCACAGTTTCACAAAATTTTAAAAGATTCTATAAGTTCCATTAATTTCAGTCTTTAGCAAATGGACTTTCATTGAATTGCTTTAAATCACAAAAGGAAATTACCATAATCCAGTATAAGGAACAGTACCTCGGAAGACATCATAGCAAGCAGGGGAGCAGCAGCTGCGGCACCGCCCAATCTGCTCACACTGAGAACCTGAGTCAATCATAAATGAGAACCACCGATTTAGATCATCCGATCCGGTTCAATGAAAAGTGAAAATAACTAATGCTACGTGATAATTGCGGTATGTTCAAGTAAGAGTTTTTGTCACTTTTAGACTTTTAGTGACTATTATGCCACTGATGTTTTTAATATCCTACGTTGATTTTTCAATTTTTAGTGCTTGATTATTGTGGTAGAGAAACTCTTAGTACATGTTTTTGAAAATTTTCATATTCAGTCCTCTGAATTTCACGAAAATAACACTTTTGGTTCTTCAACTAATATAACAATGAAATTTTTAGTCTTCAATTTATTATGTCAAAATCATACTCGAAGGATTAAAAGAGTTAATTTGATAATGCATAGGAAATTAAATGTGACAAATTTTGAATTCGATGACTAAAAATGTCTCTAACACAATAGTCGAGGATTAAAATTGAAAAATTAAAAATTGAGTACCAAAAAGTCTCAATGACACAATATTCGAGGGATCGAAAATATGAAATTTAAACATTACTACTCCGTAATAAAAAGTGCTAGTTCGTTTTGGTAGAATTAAAAATATTTAATTAATTAATTATATTTAGTCATGTTTATTACATTGAAAGTTTATATATATACATGCATACATGCTACGTACACACACAACACACTCAGACAAAAAAGTTTATGTTGAAATAATTACACTCCAGAATTTAATTATAACTATTTCAACCAGCTCCATAAAGTTAAACCTTTTTATTAAAAATGTTAGTTCAATAAGGTAATGTATAGCAAGTATTAAAGTAATCACAGTTCGATCAGTAGTTCATTACAATTACAGTGTTAAACTAAAAAATTACATATATTACTGAAAATATATATATATACACACACACACGAAGTATATAGTTACTAAATTCCAGTATTCAGTATATTCTGAACATCTTTTACTACGTACTACGTATTAAATTTAGGCATCTCATATTAGAAACTTTTGATGATCTACCGAAACCACATTTAACCACATTATTTAAACATTCGGTTTACATTTCATTCCAATTATAATCCCACCGACCCACCTTTAATAAAAGAGAAAACAAGAGATGGAGATCATACCTTGACTTGGAGCTGGAGGAATTTGACATAGTCGATGATCTCATCCAGCATTGAAGCCTTGTCCGTCTTTAATTCATTTTAAAGAAAAAAAATCCAGCCTCATCCACGTTAGTTTTCCGTTGAAATAAAAAATACTCAATATTATATTGTGACCTAATGTTCTAAAATTAAGCGGCCATTGTACATAGAAATTATCCTGAATTAGATTAAAATAAAATAACATTCTAAAATAAGAGTATTCTACTTATTTCTAACAAAGAGTAATTACTAATTTGTTTAATAAATTTGTCAATTGTGACATTAATACCTTCATATCAGTGTTATGTGTGCATGTGTTATGTGTATACTCCAAAGCCATTATATCATATCCCAAAAACTCCACTGAACGGGGAAAACGTACACGTAGTGTATTCACAAAAAATACCATGTAAATGATTTTCCCAACGTTTGCTGGTTGGCACACCACATAATAAATGTGGTCAAATTATTTCATTTTAAAGTGTATATAATTACCCGTCAAAGCTATACTAACCTTCAAAAACAAACACAATTTTAGATAATTATAACTCAACAATTAATAAATACTGAAATACATAATATTCAGTTCTTATCACGTGTCCAAAGAAGATACACTGCAGAAACTTTAAAATAAAATACGATAGTATAATTAAATTAAAGTCATATTATACCTACATCATACATGCATTGTCGCTTACCATTTGATAAATAACAATTCTTCATCTGTGTTTTAGACTCATCCATGTTTTTAATACCCGTAGTCATATTATACTTTTTTTTTCAAAAACAAGAATTTATGAGGGTGCATTTTGCTGTTTGTGGGGTTTCCCCAGGTAACTACTACGTTTATTATGCACGGAGTATAGACACGTGTTGTGAGACCAGCCGACCACATGATAAAATAACAAAATGACAAATATACCCAATTGTCATATACTCCCGTAGAAAGCAGTTACAATTCAACTCATAGGATTATAATAAGAAAATGAAAATATATCATCATATCACTGTAAGATTTTGATCGTTATAAAATTTTCATATCGTTGCTGTCCGACTTATAATATTTACATATCACTACAACATTTTAATATCATTAACTGATGTCACTATTAGACTTTCATATTACTGTGTTCGTGAAATATGCACTGCTATTGTTGACAAATATTTTTCGATGACTTTTTCTAACTAATTTTTAAAAAACTAAAAAATGAAAAGAAAATTGTCAAAACTTTATGACAGCAGTTCTCCATAGCTGAAGGGCAGGTGTGGGGGTTGGGACTTGGGACAGAGATTTGATATAAAATTATAATAAGAGAAAAACGGGATTAATTAAACAAAAGGTTAGCAATATTTCTCAAAACGTGTTATCAAAATTAGTGTAGTGGGTAGAAATGTAAATTTTTATTATCTTTGTCCTATAGAAATTTTAAATTTGTGTTAACTCAAAATAAGAAAAGTATAATATGACTTTATTATCTACCCTTTTATTTAATGCAGAGTATTTCTTTTGGTGGTTTTCGAATTACATTTTTATCATCAATAAATGTATGTTCTCATTTCCATTGCAGGAAAAAATTAACAATCTTAAGTGATAAATTAATCATTAAATATTAAAAGTAATACATTTATAACATCACGGTTATCAATACTAATTATATTATAATATATATATCTATTAAAATTATTTTTTTAAATATATACTCGAAGTACTTTATTTAATTATTGTCTAAATATTCGTGTTGTTTTGCAATGAGAACCTTCTAACGAGACGAAGGTAGTATTACTTCTATGTTTTTATTAATAATGAAATATGAATCGTATTAGAACGAAACAAGGGTGTGATTGGAAAGGTAATCTTATATAGGGAATTTGAAAATTATATTCTTATTTTTGCAATTAAAGATTTATTTAGTCCGGAAATTTTCCTTTTAAAAACCTAACAAGTCAATTTTTTAAAAATTTGCAATTTTGCATCAATTTGAAAAGCATAAATTCGAATGAATTTGAAAAAATTAGTTAAACCCGTTCTAATTCGAGTAGAAACTTCAGAGTAACTAGGGTGGGAAGTGAAATTACCTTATTAGCATTGGGAACCAGCTCCTGCAGCGACTTCATTCTCTCCGCAATCCTCTCTCTTCGTAACTGACATCCCCACATTGTTCACAGATAGTAGGAAAGCAAACCAGATACCGCCAAAATCGCAATCAGAAAACGAACTCTTTAATCAAAGCAAAAATTAATGAAACGAATAAATAAAATCTGGAATATTCTCTGGCACTGTGAAAAGATCATCAGTACGTACTCTTTCAGCGATGCTGTGCGGATCGGTGGCTTGTCCTCTACGAGCCCTCGCTCGCGGCTGTTTCGGCTGAGCAGGCGGTGGTCCTCCTCCCGTTGCTACGCTGCCGGTAGAGGCTAGTCCTTGAGTCATCGGTGGAACTGGCGGTGCTCCATGGTTCGGATCCGGATACAATTGCGGATCATTATGATGAACATGATGAAGCTCGGACGAGGGCTGAGCAATTGATCCGTTGTATAGAGCTTCATATTTGGTGTCATTTGCCTGCAATTACTCGCGATTAATACGATGTTTAACTTGAATGGATATAATCACGCAGTTACTTTATCATTGAAACATTGATCAACACCAAAATTCTTACCGATAGTAAAATGCCGTCGTTTAGGTCGTCATCGGTAAAATTCAACCGCTCCTCTAGGAGAACGTTAGGAGACCTAAATCCGGTGCCGGTAAATCCTCTGTTGAGCGAAAACTGCCGGTGAAACATAAGCGCCGCCTTAGACTCGCCGGCGGAGACTCCACCCTCACTGCCGTTGTTGTGGTTCTGCTGGAGCCTGGAAGCCAAGTGAACCGACGATCGGTTTTCAAAATTATATGCCCCATCGTCAACGGCGGAGTTGAGGCTACACACCGGCAGTGGCGAGAGGAAGTGATGAGAGTCATGAGACGGTTGCCAGTGGGACTGCTGAGATTTGGAGAAGTCCGGCCAGGAAGAAGAAGAGGGAACGGAGGATATAACCTGGTCAAGTAATCCATCAGATGCCGGCAGTAGATCGAAGTCGGAAAGGGAAATGTGATGCCGCATGTGTTCATAGCCGCCGTTGCCGACGCCGTTTTGGAGGTCCTGAATGGAGTTGGTTTCCTTCATATTTTTTCAACTGCTTACGGTAGAAGAAGAAAAGAAGATTCAAACTAAAAACAATAGAAAATACTCTACAATAATAGACGAAAATCGAGAGAAATCTAACCCTTATTGCAGATATATCAGAAAGATTAGGAAATCCTTTTCCCTAAAATCGAGTTCTGCTTCGTTCCGTAGTCAGTATTCAGACGTTCTTTCGTTATTCCAATGTTCCGTCCAGGCGTCGACCGTCTCTAACCTCTGTTTCAGTGTCAAAGTCGCTGAGGATTGAAGAAGGGAAAATGAAAATTTGTTGAATTCAAATCAACTATAACGGGGCAAAGCGGTGGGCCGTGTTCTGTTAATACCACTCTCTCATTTGGGCCACCACCTTTTACCGGTCCAGTAACAATGGACTGAATAATCATGTTACGGCCCAGCCTTGAAGGGATAGAGAGTGGAACACCAATCCGTATAAAACGGCTTAGATTGTTATAGAGTTTTTTGTTTGGCATCTGGTTATAATATAAAGCACGGAAGAAAGTTAAGTTGGGCAATTTTCCGTTGCTACAGCTCCAAGATTGTTAACGTCGTTTACTGCTCTCCCTATACAAATGAGTGAACGATGCTTTTCCCATTTCATTCCCCATTTCACTCTGTACCGACTCTCTCAGGTTGTGAGGACTGAGGCGTCTTCCGCCAAGCTGCGGTTGCAACAAGCTAGGGTTGCGAGGAGTCTTACGCCAGGTCGGCTAGGTTACCTAGGTATATTGCTATGGCGGTGGGCTCACCACCACCACCCTGCACGCTCACAAACCACCTGAGGATATTGTCCCCAACTGATACTCCGAACCAACTTTCCCTTCGCATCATCCCTTACGCCTCGAGAGCGACATCCTTCGCCATAACGCACACATCAGATCCAAAAAGAGAAGCTCCGGATCCCAAATTGGGTAGCCAAAACCCCTCAATCGTCTCCTTGCAGGTTAAATCTCTGTATGCAATCCCCATCTAATGAAGCATTTACAGTCATGTTCCAAATTGCAGAGAATGTTCCAATTGCTCGCTTTGTGCCTCCTGCTCTGCTTTTCCCTTCAGCTGGCCCTCTTGTTACCATTGATTCAGATGATGAAGACACCCAGACGCTTAATTGCACGACCCAAGGAATACATAATGAGGTAAGTATGTTAAAAATATGTTAATCTATGTAAGTTCTCACATAATATAAATGGTCAAAGCAAGCAATTCGTATTATATCTCATTTTACATTCTTTCGGATTGCTATAAGCATATGAATAACAGTGGCTTCTTTATTAAGACTTGTGAATGCATTTACCACCTTATCCTCAACTTTTACATGTAGAACCTCAATGGGAGCATATGAATAACAATGGCTTCTTTATTAAGACTTGTGAATGCATTTACCACCTTATCCTCAACTTTTACATGTAGAACCCCCAATTGGAGTATGGACCTAAAGCTTTGGCAGTAAGGTCTGTTGGTCCCGGTTATACTGGATACAGTCTAGAGGGGGGGGAATAGACTGTATTGGTTTTTAGCTTTTTAAACTAAGTACCAGATTTACAGAATAGCCTGTTCTGTTGAAAGAATAGACTGGCAGCGGATGGGGTTCTGGCAGGGAGTTATGTTAGCCTCAGAGAAGCAAAGGCAGTAGGCCTTCTGTTAACTCGTAGAACAAGTTCTGCTGAACACAGATACCAAGTCCAAGGAGTTAGAAAGTTCTATCTAAGTGCAAGTATTAAAAGCAGTAAGTAAACGACACCAGGGATTTTTATAGTGGTTCAAGGAACAACTCGTTCCTCTAATCCACTGTTCCACTAAGCTGTAAAAACTGCCGTTTACAAAGCCTTAGTCCTAGTACTTAAGAAGCACTCCACGTCTTCTTCAAGCCTAGATGTGTCCTGGGATGCACTGCCTGGCTTCCTTTAACACTGGTCCTTTCACTGAGTTTCCTTGAAGTATCACCACTTCACTACTCCAGTTATTTGGACGTCCTTCTTGTAGCAAGAAGAGTTTCTGTTGAAACAGGGGTTCCTCCAACTAGCTTCGTTACAAAACATTTGTATGTGATGAGCTTGAAGAGTTGAAGAACACTTGGAACTTTGCTTGAATTGGAAAGAGTACTTTTCCAACTTCTGCCTTCTCTTGTAGAAGATAATGAGTTTGAATATCAAGGAGGCTTTTTGCTTTTCAGAGTTTGAATATCTTGCTTGTGGTTAGCAGAGTTGTAGCAAAGTTATGTAGGCAAAGTTTTCTCCAAGTATCTTTGGTTGTTCTTCGTAGTGTATCTTTTATACTGAGGTTGTCTTCCCGTTGGAGGAGTAGGAGGACAACTGCATTTAATGCGCGATCAGTTGACTTGACTAGTAGAGCCCGATAAAGTTGGCGGGTTACTATTTTGGGATAAAGTATTCCTGACATTGCGGCCAATCATCTGCAATTACTCTACGTAGCATGGGGTGCATTTAATGAGCATTTAATGCATGCACTGTAGCTTTTCCGTTTCATACTCCTAGCCGTTGAAGGAATCTTTTAGTTGACTTCCCGGTTCTTTGAAAATCTTCTAAGTGTCAGACCTTCTGGTGTCTTTGTCTGAGAGTAGAACAGAGGAGGCCTGGAGCACTTCTGTTGGGAGTATCCAACAGAGACCCGGAAGGGTTTCTGTCAGAGTCAAGACTAACAGAGATCCTGAGGACTTCTGTTCTGGAGCAGAGAACCAAAGGTCCTCTGTTTCAATAAAGTCTTAAGAGGCACTTCTGCTCTTGAAGTCCTTCTGCTCTTGAAGCCCTTCTACTCTTGAAGGTCTTCTGCTCTTGAAGGTCTTCTGTCAAGTCGATTACTTCTAAGAACTTTACAAAGGAAAATTCTAATACATAATTTCTAAAGGGGTACTCTAAAGTCCTAATTAATCTAGCATCATCAAAATCTAATTACAATTATTCCTTACAAGGTCTTTTCAGAATACAGGTAATTGTTTGCTTGACCTATTATTTGGTTCCGCAATTGAGGAGGAAATTGAACTAATAGTTAACTTGCACTATGTAGCTTATGTAGATGTTTCTACTGATGCGTTTGATTATGCTAAACATGTAAGTGCTCCTTTGTTGGTTTGATTTTATTCGTTTGAGATGTGTTATTCTCCTCTTTAGTAATCTTTTCCACTTAATATAGCAAAGTGCAGAATGATATAGGAAACTAAAGGAAGAGCAAGAGCCGCAGATAGAGCCTTTTATTAATTGCTTGGGTGGGTTGCCAAAGGGTTGTCTCAATTCGATGGGATTTCTGCTAGATTCTACTCCCTCCGTCCCGGTCATTTCTTTCAACTTTCCTTTTTGGACCGTCCCAATTAATTCTTCCAACTTCCACTTTTGGAAAAAAAATGTGGTTCACATTCATTCACCTTTTTCTTACACAACTACAACCATACATTTCCACTTTATTCTCACTATCTAAATTTGCGAGCCAAGTCAATTTAGGAAGAACTCACTCGGACGGAGGTAGTAATTCAAATACAGAATTTAATAAGACCCATGTTCCCCAACATAGAGCAAGTGCCGTTACAGAGAATTGTAAAGAAAATGAAATACAAATTGCCGAATTGCAAGCGTTTCACAAATCCAGCTCAAGAACGACTTTTCTTTAATTGTACCCTAAACTTCTTGTTTCTTTTGTGTGTGTGTGTGTGTGTGTGTGTGTGTTTCAATCAAGATACTTACTGCCTACATCTCCTTTAATTTATAACTTTGTTTGTGGCTTGAAATTGATTCAGACATCTGTTATTGTTCTGTGCCTACCCCCACAGTGGGCTTTTAGCAGAAGAACTAGCAGTTACCTGCTTCAGCAAGTAAGTATCATATTTGAGCATGTGACCTTTTATAATAAAAAATTTGTTTGGATAAGGTTTCAATTCACTTTTCACATTAGATTCTAAATTAACAGTTTGCATCAAGTGTAATTAACAGTTTGCATTAACTGGCCACAATTAATGTTTGGATTGGATGTTGTTAGCATGAAATGTAGAGCTGATCGTGTTGATAAGAGGTGGGCATATTGGGGCTCTTGCTATAAGTGAACCCAAGTGTACTTTTCCCTAAAACTTCATTTACTCCACAACTATTTCTCTCTGTTTGAACTATTTTCAAATTGAATTAGAGGGTTTTCAGACCAAGGCTATCTTTTATTTGAGAAAAAGAAATGGTTTCCAATTAATATGGTGCCCTTTTCAGCTGGATTGGATGTTGTTAGCATGAAATGCAGAGCTGATCGTGTTGATGGGATTATGTTCTGAATGGGAGTACGATGTGGTGTACCAATCGTCATGTGGTACAAACACATGTATTATTCCTCAGTCCTCACTATTAACATACATAGATAGAGCTATCTTACATTATTCAGGATTTGAAGCTCATTAGAACCTATTGTTGGCAATATGCACACCCATACAAACATAGAAAGAGACAAATATAATTGCAGTAATTTGATGTCTACTAGGCTACATCTTCGAGCATAGCACCACTTATTGGGTATATCCCTCAAAATGGCTTGCTTTAGGTCGTCTAAATTTCTTTAATGAATTAGCCTTTGGTTTGCTGTTGTATTATTTTAAGTATATCTTTTACATGGTTTTATCTGAAGAGTGAAGAATGCTCTGTTTTTCTGCATTATCTTTATGACCGCATAGTTCTTAGATACTCCCTCCGTTCCATTGTGTGTGTGTGTCTTGTTTTGGTTTGACACAATTATTTATAAAACCTTTGAAAAGTAAAAGTCGTGGTTGAGGTTTTGGTGTAATAAAGTAAAATGATATCAACCACATACTTGCCAAAAAATGGAAAAGGAGATTTCTTTTGGGACAGTCCAAAAGGGAAAGTAAGACCCATAAAAGATGGAGGTAATATCTATTCTAACATGAATAATATCTTTCAATGGCATTAGTGTATTATTGGTGCTTCGGCATAGTCATTATTATCATGTTATTCTTTCAGTACAATAAATTATTGTTTTTGTTGGTTGGTTGGTTTTACACATATATTCTTGTTTTTTGCAGTTTCAGTGCTGGCAAGGAACTAGACAAGCTTGGGATGAGAGGAAGTGATACGCATGTGTGTTTTGCCTCAACCAGTATGGATATGCTTTTATTCAATCTGAGTGCAAATTCAAAAATGAAATAACATTTGGACTTGAACCTTTGTTGTCCCCTAACCGTGTTTTTTTGTGGGGTGGTTAGGTTTTGTATGTTATGTATATTTTGTAGGTTTTGGCTTCAGAAAATATATTACCAGATTACCATCTCTCTGCATATCCCGGTCTAGACGTCGAGCTACATTGAATTTTGTATTTTATTCTTCAAAAAGTTAAACCAAAACCAAGTTTCATTTGAATTAATATGACCAATTTTGTTTCTTTGTAATGTGAAACACACATGTTTCTGTTAAGATTAACTTTGTATTCATTTTTGCTTCTAATTTGTTCCCTTGCTTGCGTTTCTGTGGGTATGTGAGGTTTTGTGTGTCTTGTAACTAAATATTCTTCAGCTGTAATAAAACTAACATACCTTTCTTGTTCAGTTTTTATTCACTCTTACTTTTGATTTTTATCCTCACTTGTGTTTTTTAGGTTTTTAGGTTTATAAATCTCCTAGCTTCATATTTTGCAACTGTGACAATGTTAATATATTTTACTTATTCTGTCTTTTTGCAGATGCAAATAGAACTACATTTGCACCTTCATGGATTACTGAGGTTCAGCTTCACTACCCATCTTTTTTCATGTAATTTCTGTCAATATCATTTCATTTTATGTTACCTTAGCCTTCTGATTTTAGATTCATTTGTTATAATTTAAATTTACTTTTAATTTGATTTCATTTTGTTTAATTATTTTGAGATTGAGTATTCCTGGTTACTTCCCATTTCTAATTCTGAGTTTCATCTAGATTACTTTTTAATTTTTATATAAAACATTTAGAACATGTGACATCACCTTTTCCCTTTGTTACTAAGAATATTATCTACTAATATTTGTTTGCTATTTATTGACAATTTTAATTTTATTGTTTTTTGCCAAGATTTTAATTTTTTCGTTGAAAAGTGTGGTTGCTATTATCTTAAATACGCTTACAGGGCCTGATTTTTATTATCTTCTTTGTTTCTTATTTGAATAATTGACGTGTTTTACTATATTTTCTAATTCATAGCTTTGGGATTTGTCAAAAAAATCATGTTGAGCTTTGGGGTAAGTTTAGGTTTAATCTGTCACGTGTATTATTTTATGATGATTTTAAGTATATTCTCTTGTGTAGGAGATTTTGAGATATTGGCCACTCCTTCGCTACCTGTGCATACAAGGGTAATTATTAATCAAATCTTCCATTGGCCATTTCGTATGTTTTTTGAAAGCATGTCAGCTACCAAAACGCATAAACAAATATCTTATCTCTATACCAAAAAATCTTGGAAATAATCTAGGGCTTCTTTCGTATTTTGCTCACCTTGTATTTGCTTTGATTTTTCTACTAATTTTGACCATGCTTTTGCTTCAGTTATTCTTTGATTTAGAAAAAACGAAGGAACTTCCAATTGTTCCATTATAGGTACTTCAATTTTTATTTACTCTTCCTACATTCATCATCATCATTACCCCAGTGCCGCAAAGGCCCCCACCTACGGTGGGGTTAGGGGGGGTCGGATGTACACAGTCTTACCCCTGTTCTAAAGCACAGAGAGATTGTTTCCGGATGACCCATAGTGAAAACAACGTCGAAAATTGCATGGATTGACCGTTCTTCAAAACAAAAAAGCGCAGACAGTTTAGTGAGCCATTTTGCTTTATTTCATCATATTTCCAAGCCAAAAAATAGAGTATTTGGCTCCATTGCAAATGATGGAAGTTACTCTTCCTACATTAATGGGATAATATCAATGGTTTTTAGGTGCTTCACTTTTGATTCACATCTTTACCCTTTTAACAAACCTTAATGATTGTTTGTTGAGGAGTTGAATTAATGGTGACGAGAATGAACAAGGAAAGAGAGGTGATGCTCTTGATTCTAAAAAATGTCATCCTTGATGATGTGATGCGTGTCGAGTGCTGTTTTCTGCCATCAGCTAAAATTTTGAGGATTCATAATTGAAAATTGCCTTTCTCATCTTATGTTTAGTTTTAAATTTGTTTTAATTTTTGTGATTTAAATTTTATGTGGCATAGTAAAGGATTCAAAAAGCTTTCACGTGATGATTGCCTTTTCCTTTGCTTTTTTAGGGGGGTTGGGGGGGCCTGTAGTAATCAGGGTTGAAACTCACTCCATTGAGTTTTAAACCCCTTATGTGCCTAGCGGGTTTCGAACTCAAGACCTCCCACTAGGCATGGTAACCTCACAACCAGCTGGGCTGGAATGCTTGGTTTGCCTTTTCCTTTGCTTACCAAGATAAGCTCTTAAAATATTTGCTCGATTCATTTTTGCTAGGAGATAAACCAACACCAAATTTGACCTTGTATGATTGCTTGTGATTTTGATACAATCTGTGATATGAAACCAATTTGTATCTTTATAAAACTGATTTAGTGAATGCACATAGTGGTATAATTTAATTTAGTCAGAATAGTTAAAATATGTTTCCATGATTATTTAAGTTTGTGTGTATGTAATTTTGAGTTTTGGCCACTCCCTGCTTCTTGCCTTCCTTTGTGTAGAAAGGTAATTATTCATCATTCTCCAACTTCATATGTTCTTTAATTATTAAGGGCACATGAAAATTAAATGTGAGTTTGTAGGGATCTTTTAAATAAATAATATTTTAATTTGTCCTAGGATCTTTCTTCATATTAGTATGAAGGGGTATTTTTCTAATTGTTCTTTCACATTTTTCTAAAAGCAGAGCCCTCTCAATTTCTATCGAGCTTAATATATGTTTTTCTTCTTTGTATAACATGTTCTTTCACACCATCCAATGTTCTTTTTCTTTCATTGGTTGGTGACGATCTTTTCCATATAATTTACACGGTTCTTTTATTTCTATTTTGCAGTTGATATTTGTGGTTATTTGTCATTAACTTCTTTTCGCTGAATATAAACGGTATGTAACTCTAAGTTCATATTTAATTGTTTCATTTCTTCTTGAACATACTTCGGTAAGACTTGATAACCTGTGATTGATACTGGATGACTTAGAATAACGGGGATCAAGCAGACCCAGTCTAACCGCTGCAAGGTTACAAAAACAAATTTATGTTTTACTTTGATTTTTTTTAAAATTCTTTTACCCAACCATATATAACGTAAATATACCAGATCATACAAAACCAAACCATTCCAATATAGGCCCTACCCAACTTCTATCAATATAAAATAGACTTATACCAGCGATTCACAAGATTGGATAATTTCAGACTGAACTGCCCAAACTTAGACAAGCTGGGCCAATAAAAATATACTGATTGAATACCTACTCTTTGTTTTTTTAGAAGGGATCTCATATTTATTTATTACTACGTATGGATTAGGTGCATTTTGTGGGGGCTTAATTAATCGCATGCATCAACGGCCAATCAGATAACCGTTGACGCTCTTTCCTATCCCAAACCTTTTTCAAAGCACCCGTTCCGCTGCTATCCAGTGTTGTGCGTCATCTGCTCTTACCATTCCCGTCGTCTCACGCTGAAGTGGGTGGAGCCATTGTCTCGGGTAATTCTCTATCTCATCTCATCTCCATCTCATTTGTCCGCATGTACAAGATTCTCGATAAATCCCCTTATGCTTTAGGGATGAAGGCATTGATACAAACAAGGTGAATACCTGCGTGCTTTGATTCCCCCTGCATCTCTTCAATTTGTTTTATAATTTTATTAATGGTGTTCTGCTCTCTGTGCTTTGATGTTCTGCTTTTAGTTGATTTTCCTATTTTACTTATTTAGCATGAATAACCCACTTATTCTACTATTCTATCATGCATATGTAAATATGATACAACATATTGCCAATGATTCATGATGAATAAACATATATTGGCTTCATTACTTTATTTCATTTTAAAAAGTATAGAATTGTTCATTTCACAAAAAAAACTTTGTTTCATTACCTTTAAAATATATTCAACCATATTCAAAACTAAAAACGTAACTGCCTAGCATTTTTCCCTTTCTTGAGCAATGTCCAAACTTCTGAATTATACCATATTTCAGCTTTTGTTCAACTGGCTTTCCACATCAACCAAGATTCCAGACTACCATTTTTTAGGTATGGGCGTGGCAGGCTCAGGTTCCTTCCCATTTCGGCGTGTGGCGTGGAGGAGCCGCCCCGCTGCAAACATACATTTGAGATCAGCAGCATTGCATGCATCAGCGTTGCTGGGCCTGGTTGATCCTCTGCAATGTTGCCGGTCCATTGATATAGTACTACTTTTGTTGTTGTGTTTTGTTTCTCATGTCCTTCTTGAAACAATCATGAATTCTTTTTAAACTACATTCCGGTGAATTGACGATGTTAAGCTACTGTTTGTCGTTCTTGTTTGTTGGTACTTTTGCTCATTTTTCACAACCCATTTTCCTCCATTGGGCATCGACCCTCGCGCAACGTGCGGGCCAATGCTAGTATTAAGATATACCTGTAGTTTTTTTTATAATAAATGGAACTTTATTAAATAAAATGAAAGAGTTACAATGAAAGAAAGAAAAAAAGAAATGGAGAAAGAAAACCAAATAAAAAGAAAAAACGATCGCTAAACACCAGTTCGTATATCCTACATCCGGTGTACGGGTGGGAATCGTACATCCGGATCTATTTGTAATTTAATTGAAGCTTCAGCCCAATTTTAATAAAGTTTAATGAATTTGATGAAGGCCCAATTAATTAAGAACCACAGCTCATTTAATTGATACAGTCTAATTTTTTTTCGGTGTCATTTTTATAAATTAAGCGAAAAATCACGGCTAACGCTAAATGAGCAATAATGTACTTTTAAAGAGCATCTGACCTATTTTATTGAGTATTATGAGACTAATAATGAGTATCACGATCTTTGCTTCATATCTTCTAATTCTTTTTCTTTTTCTTATTTTTTCTTTTATAAAAACTTATTAAATTATATCTATAATCCACTCTTATTAATTTTAATATGCGAGTCTAATGTAATATGATACTTTTGAAATATACATTGATATGACATTGTAAAAATGAGCATAACATGAGTACCAAATGAGCATACATATCTTACAAAGTGCACATTAATATGAAAATTGTTAGGTTTGTTAGATGAACATCATGACATTTTAATTGAGCATCAAACCTCCACTATTGAGATGAAAATCATGACTTCTGGAGAATGAGTAATAATGAACTTTTAATGAACACCAAACCTATTCTGTTGAGCATCAAACCTCCTCTATTGAGATCAATGAACATTAATGAATTTTTAATGAGCATCAGACATATACAAATGAGCATTCGTAACTTACAAGATGATCATTGATATGAAAATAGTATGTTTTGTTTGTTGAACATCAAGATATTTTCAGTGAGCATCGAACATCCGTTATTGGGTACTAGAATCATGAAATTGAGTATCGTGGTTTGTGGTCTCGTGTCTATAATCAAATTCTATGTGAATCTAATGTAATATGAGACTTTTGAAATATGCATGGATAAACATTTTAAAATGAGCATAACAAAGGTACTAAATGGACATACATAACTTACAAAATGAGTTTTCAAAAATTGAAATGTTCATTTGTATATCCCTAACTCCTTATTTATGTTCATTTGTATATATTTATTCTTTTTAGACGCTATAATTATTTGAGTTTAAAATAAAGAAAAAAAGAAAAAAGACAAAAAATTAAACTAACTAAAGTAAATTAACTAAAGTAAAAGTAACAAAAAAGTAAAATAAAAGAAACGAAAAGAAAAAAGAAAGAAGAGAAAAAAAGTAACGAAAAAATAAAATACAAAAGACAAAACAAATATAAAATGAACTAGGATGACGGGATGAAGGCTAAAAAATGAAAAAGAATGACGGCTGAAATAAATAAAAGCAACAGGGAGTGAGGGAATGAGGATGATGGCAGAAGAAGAATCAGGAAAAGCATAGATGAGAGAATCAGCCTGCCACGTCATTTAAAAACAGGATGTACATGTACACCCGGGTGTATAATATAATTTGCGGCTAAACACCCAACCCAAAGAATAACGATAAATCCCAACCATAATATAAATTAACTATTAATGAGAGGTTATGGAGTTTAATCCAACTACGAGAGCTAATCTACGAGAACAGATGAAATTTAGGCAGCGTAAGCCAGTATTATTATTCCAAAATTCAGATCCTTGGTAGGATGTGTACGAGAAGTATTTATAGACCTTAGGTTCTAGTATTTTAGGAGGAAACTGATACATTTAATGTAATTAATTACATTAGAGTCTTGTAATGTCTCGAACGTTGTGCAATCATTGTTTCCTTCAGGTCCACGTTTCTTCCGTTATTTACTGCCGCTGCCAGATAGCTATGCACAAATGATAGCCTGCCACACAAGCCCTAGAAAGAGTCCAACCTCGCTAGAACTCCGCCTAGGCTCGAGGTCTGTTGTCCAGCCCGACCTGGGTTTGGGTTCTTTTCGCGACTCGTATCCCTAATTAGACCTAGAAGCTATTATTTATTATTTAACTCGATTGATGGGTTGATCCTGTTGATAGGCTTTGCTTTGATATATTCAATCTTGGGTCATGGTTGTGATCCATGGTACCATCACGAGCCCCCTACTCTCTAAAATCCGTCGGGTTGTATTTTAGGAGAGTAGCAAGCTTACGAATTTTGAATTTTCTATTTGTGGTGCCGCTTTGCATTAAATGCGAGTGCCACGTGCCTGGCTTCACAACTTCCCACTCCACCATCCCATCTTCATCACTCGAGTGCCTTGGTAGCGGTTCCAGAGCGGTTTAAGAGGCGTTGGGGTTCCCACCATAATATAGGTACACTCTCTTCTTCGTGCAAACCTTCTGATAGTCAGCGTTCTTCAAACCTTAGCCATGTGCCCCCTACCTATTAGAGTTATACTCTAGCTTAGGCATGTGCCACACTCCAACTAAGCATAGAAATCTAGTTTGAGCTCTAGCTTGAAAATTTGAGGCCACTTAATGTAGACCTAAACCCAATAGCGAATTACAAGCTCAAGAAATTATAACAATTTTATTTCAATGCATAGGTGCAACTAAATGATGACATCATACTGGCCCCTTAGCCATCTCTCTTGGCCATCTTTATTTGACGACTTGGACTTCATATAGGCCTCTCAGCCGCATACCCCAATCATCTTTATTTGATGAGTTGGACATCATATTATGGACGGTCGATCGACCTATTTCTTAGTCATCTTTATTTGATGACTAAAACTATTTATTATGCCGAGTAACACATACGAACACCGGTCTTGGCCATCCCCTCAGCACATGGCGACCGTTGCAGCTCCACACCTAGTCTGAAGGAGTCACCCTTTTGCTTCATTTTAGGGGCATCCGGTGTACTCTTTTTTTCCCTCATTAGGATTTTTTCCCACAGGTTTTTTTTCTCCAGTGAGGTTTTTAACGAGATATCTCCCCAACGTGGACAAAAGGTGTCGACCCTCGACCCTTATTGAAGACAACATGAGACATGCAATACCTTACTCATCTTCACCTCACTACATTCACCTCAAGGAGTGGAGGAGTGGAAGAGCGGGGGACTTAGCGCCTGCATGGATCGAAGAAGCACAAATTCAAAATTTTCACAAGGTTTGCCACATGCACCGACGACAGATTATTACACAGTTCTACTCCCTTTTGCCTCAAGTACTCTCGACTCAGGGAGTTGAGGAACTCCTGATAGAGTATATAGACTCGGACCCCCAGTCTCACGACTATTGAGCCTGGACAGCGGCCCACACACGCTTACCAGATATCATTCATATTATTGTACATTATTTTTAGTCAGGTGTTCTAGACTAGCCTTTTATGTTATGAGTCCTTTTATGTAACGGAGTCTGTTAGACACATATTAGAGGCTCAGACCCGAATTTCTCTATATATACTCCTGTTAGAGCTTTTTGTAACCCTAGTTGACGATTCAATATAACTTTTAACACTATTCATCATCTTCCTCTTACTTGCTTAAACTATCCCATTACTCATAGTTTGGTTACCATCGGGGTCCACTCCTCATTCTAGATCGGCAACGCCGATCGAACTAAGAAGACTATTTATCGCCCCCCAGATCCCCTCACGATTCGTTTTGGCTCGGCCCGCTAGGCTCAGCTATAAAGCCCTGGTGAATCAATCGTGCACGGGTCCATTCCCCGTTCTAGATCGGCAACGCCGATCGAACTTAGAAGACCATTCATCGTCCCCCAGATCCTCCACCATTCGTTTTGGCTCGGCCGGCTAGGCTCGGCTATAAACCCCTGGTGATTCGATCGAGGATGAGTTCATTCCTCATTCAGGATCGGGAGCGTCAATCGAACTAAGAAGACCATTCATCATCCCCATATCCTCTCACCATTCATTTTGGCTCAGCCTGCTAAGCTCGACTATAAACTCCTGATGATTCAATTGAGGATGGGTCTGAGTAATAAATTTTAAGTATTTACTTAAAATTGATCGCAAATAATAATATTATATATATTGGGTATGATATCTAAATATAAATCCTCTGATTCTTCACTTGCAATTTGAAATAATATAATTAAAGAATTTAATTTAAAATTAAATCTCTAATCCTTCAAAAATTCGAACGATCTTCAGATCTTCGAATCTTCTTTCTTGAGATATTTGAATCTTCGAATCTTCATTTTTCGGATCATCGAATCTTCTTGAATGAAGAATTCAGCTTGAAGTGCTTCCGGTTTTCAAGTAGCTTGATCTCCAACAAAAGGACCGTTTTGTGGTTTGATCTTCTGTTAAAGGGATTCTCAGGATATATAGCTTGATCTTCAGTTGAATCTTGATTCAAACTTCATATGAATATCTTCGAATCTTCAAGGATTCGTTCTTCAGGTCTCTGAATCTTCAAAGCATTGTTCTTCAGATCTTCGAATCTTCGAGCTTTGTTCTTCAGATCTTTGAACGTTCTTCAACTTTGGGACTTATTTTATCAAGAATTGACGAAATCACAAAGGATTATTCGTATATTTTTAATAAAATATGTGGCTTGATCTCTTCCTCTTCTTCGGAATCGTTCAGAGCCTTTCAGGAGTTCTTCAGAGCTTTTCTGCAACGGTTTTTCGTCTGGAAGCTCTCTCCCCTTTTCTCTCAACTGAGACCCCTATTTATAGGTATGGAGGGGATCAAATATGCTTTGGTGTTCCCAAAATTCGTCCATCTCATTTGGGCCCCAATTAAAATGGGCTTTGGCTCTATTTGCTTGTATTTTAATAGCTAGAAAGATAAGCATTTATGCAATGTATCTGAACAGCCTTTTTAACAAGGTTCATGGCTATTTTCCATGCATATGGAAAGATTTCTTAGCCAGATTCGTTGTCCTCTTCATGAATTGGATCAAACCTCACATATTTTAGGCCACTAGTTAATATTGGGCTCTAAATAAATAAATTAATAGGACCGGTCTATTGTTTTAAACATTTAATTTTTAATTAAACTAATTGGACATTTAAGTGACCCAAATTAATTTAATCATCAAATTATATCCGAATGAACCCATATTATTTTTTTTTCTTTTGATAAGGCCCAACAATCATTACGAGCAGCCTCGTAGAATCTGACGTTGACCCAATAAGATGTAAAATAGCCCGGTAGCATTTAAAAGACCTCAAGTTCTACCATACTTGACCCAATAATTTTTATATGTGCACAAACGCCCCCTCGAGACTTTCTTAAAGTAAGTTTCGAAATAAAAGACCCAAATCACTCGGTGTCTTAAAATATACTTTCTTCTTAAAAGACCCAAATCACTCCGTGCCTTAAATGGCCTTTGAATAAAAGGACATTTCAACCGTTTTTTGGAAGAAATAGATTTATATTGATAACACATAATGGGTAAGCCGACAAAAAGAATCTTGACAACCATTGTCCCACGAATCAGACTCAGAGTTAATCATCTCAAATGAAGCGATATAACTCGTTGATCCATTAATGGACACAAATGAGTCCAAGACGGTTACCTCAATCCTTTCATCCCCCATATCCAAATCCACTGTCTTACAGAATGGAACAAAAAAACAAAACACAAAGCAAACAAAATTGTCATAACAGAAAAAAATAAAGTTGATAAACTCGAGTTGTTGTCCGAGCTTGCCGAACTGCACGAGTACCCAAAACTTCTGCATTGGTTCTTTTATCAACTTAGGCGGACATGCAAGTCAATGTCCGCCCCCTCCCCGTTTTTTGTGTCATCAAGAGCCATGTCATCCTCCCCATTCTTAACTTCTCCCTGTGCATCCCATATCCTTCTTCTCTTTTGTTCCCCCGATGTTTCTTCCTTTGCCTCAACTCCCACACCTTTAGTTGTGCTCTGCTCTGAATCTACAACAGACTCTTTCCTATCACCCCCCATCCTGCCATTAGACTTATTATTCCCCCATACTTGTGGTCTCTGCTAGAGCTCGATGAACCATCCAGTATCCATTGGCTTCCTCGTGTGGGACTCGTCTTCCCCCCGCTACCTGCTCTAAGCTAGACCCCAAAATGTTTTTCCGGAACCAGATCTTCTTTATAATTTAAATGGCAGAATTTATCTCAATGCCCAAATAAACCGCAAATAAAACAGAAGTTGGGAAACTTTTCATATTTTAAGTCCACCTAATAGCTCTTTCCTTCCTTCTTCAGATTAGTTCCTCTTTTCAGAGGTTTATCCACATTCATGCACACCCTAATTCTCATATAAGTCTCCCACTTCTCACTGTTTTGATTATAATCACATTTTATAAATTTTCCAATAAAATTCCCAACACTCCTAGCAATGCCTAAATTTACTAGGCTATATGGAACATTATAAAATTTGAACCCAAAAATCAGCCTCATTTAACACAATTTTATGGGGGATGTCATCAGGCTTTACTTCTTTCAACAACAACAAATTGCGTTCAAATTGCCACGGGCCTCCCTCAAGCACACGATTCATATTCACACGATTCATATCCACACGATTCATATCCACACGATGATAGAAGGTAAAGAGATACCTTTTTCACCAACTTCTTTGATCAAAAGTCCTTTTCTCGGCCTCCAAAATGAAGCCATGAGCTCTTTGATAGCTGAAAATCTGACCTTACGATCTGTCAAGAGCACTGCCAACACCGGAAATCCCGGTCTACTCTCCTCCACCGATCTCTCCTCCACATCGATTCAGTCCGGATCCAGATCCAGCTCTTCTTCCTCTGCCCCAATCGCCATCTTCTTATACTTATCCACTACACCTTCCATTCAAACCACTGCCTTGTTTTCCTTCCGGATAGCCGCTGTTTAGCCTACCTACGCAGTAGCTTCCTATCGCAGCACCTACGCACTACTAAAGCAGAAAACAACCTCCGGCGTAAAGCACGGCTGCGTGAAAACCCCTTATTCCGCCGAGAACTCCACAAAACAGGCACCACAGCTCACAAAATGAAGCTCCAGATAACTTGAAAATAACCGCTCTCCTCACCACCGACCAGCGGCGGCCGAAGCAACCTTGGCAGAAGCCGACGGCAAACAAAACCTAGGCGTTACCGGATGGTAACCCGGGATTGTTAGTGTAGACGATTTAGAAGATATAATCGGAGGGCTGTAGGGTAGCAAGTGGAAAGACGATCTTGCAAAGATCGAAACCCGTGTTTGGAGAGAAAAATTTCATTCCTAGATGGTAGCCACAACTAATCGATAAGGCCATTTAAACCTTGATTATTCTGATTCAACCATTTAGAATATAAGAGCAGCGAATTTCCAAATATTTAAAGTTTTACGAAGAGGCCTGTTTGCTGAATTGGTCCATAAATTGTAGGTCCGGTAGATAGCCTGTGCAATTTGAGTACTTGGGCTAAATACTCCGTATGTTGCAGCCAGGAGTCAATCAAAATGCAATTCAAATCTCCTCAAACTTTTAAGCCGCAATCTGTATACAATTCAAACTCTTCAAAATACAATCCTAATTCCTTGGCAATTCTCCAATCCGACTTTTAAGCCGCAATATGTATTCTCCTCAAACTCCTCTTTACTATAGAACGTCTCCTGGGCGGCTCTTTTTTTCTTCTGTATTCCAGAATAATACATATTGAACTGAACAAATAACAAGTGAAAGCTCATAATCCAACTACCTGATGGTATTGGCTTCGTTTGGATATCGGCGTTTCAGTCCAAAATCGGTGTCTTTGACTCTTTGACTGCATCGGCGTTTCGGAGGACTCAAACCTCTGTTTTTATTCTGTTTGGCAAATGGAGTTTAGCACGGCATTTGGGATGAAGCTGCCAAAACCAAAAACGCTACAAATCGGAGCGTTTAGGTTTTGGCGGATTGAAACAAATATAAAATTCCATAGATTACCCTCTCATCTTCGTATTCTGTTTTGCAGCAGCCACTTGAAGGCCTGCGGTTTCTTTCGTTCGGTGCCTTCCTTCTGTAGTTTCTCTCTTGTATAAGCACGATGTTGAAAAAGGCCTTTAGATTTTTCTCAAAGGTACGTATATATTGATCCTTCATCTATTGGATCTCTGTTTGGACTTTTGATTTATACAAGTATTGATATTTATAAATACGTAGTTATGTAATACTCCGTAGATTTACAACTTTTCAAGTTATTTATCATTTTGCAGTCTTCAAAAATCATGACCACATATCACACCACTGCACTGTAGTTTCACTTCTTATTATCATATTTTTTATAGAGGATTATCATACTATTACTTACTCTCTCTGGTTTTGAAAGATCTTTACACCTTTCATTTTTAGCAGTACCAGAAAGATCTTTACACTTCCTTATTTGCCTTATTTGGCAAATAAATCTACACAAAACAGTGCCACACAGTGCCAAACAGTGTCAAACAGTGCCAAACAGTGTAAAACAGTGTTTATTTCCTTAAAAACTGTGAAGTCAAAGTATCAAGATCTTTTGGAACCGGATGAAGTATTAATTAGTTAATTTTAAAATTAGTATAGTCCGAAACTCATACGTAGTATTAAACAAAAAACACATGCTTAAATTTTATAATGTCCTATTTGGTCTTTTTATCTACTAACCGTTACAACTAAATAACTAAATTACAAAACATCTTTTTGCAATCCGCCAAACTAATCCGCTTTTCAAATCCGCTATTTACTACCCGCTAATATATTCAGCTAACAGGCCCATTGAACTAGGACTCAAACGTGCATCTGGAGGCGTCTTTGTATGTGTATCCTATTGAAATTTTAATTTCCAAAACTTTTATAAATAGAGATACCAGGATCCTCTTTTACGCAGGCAATTTCGACCAAGAAGAAACATTAACAGCCGAAGAAGACCAAATTGATTAAGGTGAGCTTATGTATACCTATGCGGCAATGCCTTTCTCCCATTCGTTTTCTTTTCTGTCTGTTGCCGGGCAAGTATAAAAAACAAGCTGACCGCCGATTGAGTTTTCGATGAGAAGCAGAGTAGAATACTATCGGAGTTGCTGCCATTGGTCCTGCCGGAAGTTGGTGATTAACTTATTGAAGGCTGGAGTAATGTCGGAAGGTCTGGCCAAACACAAAATTGATTTTCGGCCAGAGGGGAATTTAATTCGTCGCAGGGATCCCTCGCTGTACCTGGGAGAAGAAAGGTCGCCGTCGGAGAAGAAGGTATGTCCGCCGACAAGCTCGATCGATTTTGCCGCTGCGTGAGGATGGTGTGCGGCGATCTCCTACTGGTGGTGAGCGTCGGAACGAGACTTGAAGAAGGGTTGCTGCAAATTTTGATTTCTCCTGCTGTTCGTCGAAGAAGAAGGCTGGAGGATAATCGCAGGCATCTGTCCCTCTGCCTGCTAAAGGAGATGACAGGGAGTCTGGAGCAGGGTGGTTCGGTACGGTATATCTAATATTTTCTCTCATACTTTTATTGTACCGAAACTTTCGGTATACAAAATTTGTATACCGTTACCTTACCGAAGTTTTGGTATACCGCATTTCGGTATACCGAAGATTCGGTTCAGTAACAGTACGGTATCAGTAAATTATCATGCATGTTCTCCAATTCAAAAAATTATCATAGACTAACAAAATATAGTAAATCGGTGTATTAACGACATATTTAATCCATTATTAAAATGTTACAAAATACAATTAATAATCTATTGATGTCATATTCAATATTGATCAATTATTATTATTAGTATATTTAAGCAGTTCAGCATATTTAAATAACTTGAGCAATATAGATATAATTAAATGAATAGTGATCACTAACAAAAATAAATAAAATTATTCAAACAACATGGATATAAAATCATTTATCCATAATATGATATTGTGTATTTAGTCTTTTTTATAATTTTAAATAAAATATTTGAATAAGACTTTCGGACAAAGTTATGTGCCTCGACTTTCGGATAAATATGTGTATCCATAATATTTGATACACTCGTCACATAAGTGTATCCCCTTCACTCGTCAGCTACTCAGCGGCTCAGCCATCGCGACTCGCAAGCTTATGGAACAAGATGGATTGGTCCGGACATTAGTACATTACTCATTAGTCATTAGGGTTGTTTGTTTGAATGTTACGTAGTAGAAGCCTAGAAAGTTATAGTGGGTTTGGGAAATCGGGCTTTTATTTTTGTAATTTAGTATTTGTAACCAACATAAGTATTAACCTTGGGATTCAAACTTGTAATGGATTTTTACAATATTTTAGAATTTATAGTAATCGCTGGGTGGGAGTCGATACGGTATTATACCGGTATACCACGGTATTTGAAAACATTTACCGTTACCATATCGAAATATATCGGTACGGTATCATACCATACCGAAAATGACGGTATACCAATATTCCGGTATTTTCCGATATTTTTCGGTACGGTAAGTGCGGTACACCGATTTTCCGGTATTCTTGCCCATCCCTAGTCTGGAGGAGTTGCTAGGTTCTCTTAAAAAAATTGGGCCATGAGAATTTATATTGGGCCTACTAGTTTTTTCTTTTAAAGTCTTTGTGCCATTTTTTTAGAACGATGAGGAAGCCCAGTCTTCCGGCTATTTTAAGCAATCCGATCATGGCACCATTTGAGGATAAAGGAGCTTGGTCGATTGGCAGCCGTCAACGTTGCTTGCCCCTTTGTTGGGATTGTGGCACCAATTTAAAAAATTGTGAAACAAATTTGGTGTATGGTTCCTAGGCAATCCTTCACCTTGAGCGCCAAATACCATCTTTGAGATTGGCTATTCAAGAATGACTCACTTATGAAGAAAACGTCAAGTTGCGGTTCACAAAACTCGAGACACTTGATGAAAAGAGGTTGCAAACTCAACAAAACCTAGAATGCTATTAAGCTCGTTTGTCGAGATCATTCATCAAAAGGGCTATAATCCGCTCATTAAACATATTTAAAGCTGACTAAGTCATCCCTCAAGCCCTCTAGCTCATTCTTCTAGGTATTTAAGACAAGTTAGTCTGATGCTTTGATAGTCTTCAAAATCCCTGAAGATTCCTCCTTAGCCTTTGTAAGAGCTGCATCTAAGTCATTAGCCTCTACATGGCGCTTGGAGATCGAAACTTCTACTTCCTTAGCCTCAGTTTCCAATAAGGTTATCTCGTTCTTGATATTATTAAGAGAATTCTCATCATCAAGTAATGCCACTTGATTTTGAGATCTCTTAGCTTTAATGTATTCACAAATAGCTTACGACATAGCCAATTCTTGAGATTGTTTCTCTGAGGGGATCGTGTCAGCAATAGTCGAACACTTCTGATCAAATGCTTGCGCCGTTTCAAAGAAATGCTTCACTCTCATCTTCAACATGGAAAGGTCAATGCCTTCATTATCCATCAAGCTAACACAATTCTCAACACTATTCTGAAGAGAAGAGACGTTCTCTGCTATAGCCCTTCCTAACTTTTCTTCAATGCCACTCCAAGTGTTAATGATGAACTGCTTGTACAAAGTAAAGAAGTAGTCTTCTGCATGGAATACAGATGCAGCCGGTTTGCATGAGGAGACTTGGGTATCTCTCGAGTTTGAACTTCTTTGCAAAGACTCAGTCCAGTTTTTGCTATCAATCCAGCAACGGTGTCATAATCAGCGTTTTTTCCTTCACTTGAGCTAGATGATGAAACCTGATTTGAAGAACTAGCATATTCAAGGATTGCATGAATCTGCAAAAGAAGGAAGAAAATATAAGTACAAGCTTTAAACAAAACTATGAAATAATGAAACTAACCCATGAGGTTTTCTAAGATATTTCGAGTTCCTCTCATCATTACTCTGCCTTCCAAAAACTTGATTCTCACTCGCCTTGGCATGAGACATTTCTGAGGCAAGCTTAGCCCTAGGTGCTGCAAGCTTAGCCTTTTTCTGAGGCAAAGACTTAGCTTCAGTATCATGTACTTTTTTCTTATGGGAGATCAGAGTCACGGGATCTGAAAGGGGTGATCACATCATCAACCGCAAGATCGTAAATCCTGATCAAGTCGCCCACACGATTCTCGAGATAACCTCCATGGACTTGACCCCACCATTTTCTATACTGCAAGGAATAAAATTTCACTGGAGTAGTAGGAGGGGTCAGAAAAACCACTTCAGCCCATGACATGCCATGCTCAAACTGTTGCCAAAGCTGAAATCCAGAAGAAAGAGAAACACGACGATCACGCCTCTCCAGCAAACCAGGGGCATTAGCTTGGAAATACCCAAACTATCTACTAAAGCAATGAGGAGTGTATGGCTCAACAATGCAATGGTCTCGGTAGCGTAATACGAGAAAATTAGAACGAAGACATCTAAAGAATGCTAAGTCAGTCTCGGAAGAATTCTCGTCATAAAAGAAAGCATGGTCCTTGATCCTCTGATGTGTATAACATATCCATGCAGATACATCTCCCTGGAAAATCCTCCTACACGCCCCTCTTTTCTCAAGGGACCTTGCTCCACCTTCTCCCGAGTAAGAGATCATCAATGGGTCGTGGACTGAATATCATTCTTGAAATGAGTGTCGAAGTATGAGGCCAACCATCCATAGACATAGTGAATAGGAAAGCATGTTCTAACTCTGTCAGGAGATGGAGCATTTGAAATTTTATGAAGTCCACCCATGATGAATACAGGTAAAAACTGGAACAGCAAGACATACTTTCCTCCCGTAAGCCATCATGCAAGCAACCTAAAAATTTTCCGGACAGATGCCCCTCGGACCTTCATGTGGCAACACAAACGCACATAGCCAACATGATAAGAATGCTGCTAAATAGACTTCTTCCTCATATTCGGCAGGAATCTTTAGTATATGGAAAATCACCTTCATAGAATTTGACCATCCGCCAAATTTTGGAATTGCTCCACTGGGATTATGAGTTGCTTTAGCACGAGATGATCTCTTCTTTTCTGTCCTCGATGGGGGTATAGTGTACTTGGAGGCTTTCTTGAACCAAAATTTGACCCATGCATGAATATGGAGAAAACCCTTGTCTTACGTCCTTGAAAAAAGGTGATGATATGCGTAGAATAAATACTTGCAGAGCTGGAAAGGACGGTCAGCATCCGCCGTCAATAAATCAGAGGT